TTTCAAGATTTTTGTAGAAAGACTGAAGAATCCTATTTGACTTAACTTACCAGCAATTGAATGTGTTTCACTACTTTTAATTGATGCTAAATGAAGTTGTTTAATTGATTGAGATTGTTTTTGTGCTAAAACATGAACTAATTCTTCAATACGAAATAAACTTTCAAACCAACAACCAAATGAAATAATTTCCATAGATTGATTTGATACAATAATTTGTTCAAGTAAATGAAAAATTCTACATACAAAAACAAAACAATAATATAAATAAACTTTTTTTTTATGTATTTACTTACTTATCACAAAGTGGTATAAATGGTTGTTCATTTTCTGCTAATGCACAACGTGTACTTGTTGGACGAAAAATTAAAATTTTAATTTTTCGATTTGTACATGCTAATATATCAAGAATTTGTAATATATCTTTTATTATATTTATATCTGTTGGATCAAAACGTATTTCAATATAACGTGTTATACTAAGAAAATTTGTTGCTAAATAACGAAAACATTGTATATCATTATGACGATCAATAAGACTTAAACGAAGACAACGATATGGAATAGATGACCATAATTTTGGATGATATAATACATTACGCCATGATACACATGTTGATGTAGCGGATAATAGATCATTATGTTTTAAATAAGAAAATATTTCGGCAAGAACTATTTGTGGTAACTCAGAATAATCATATGAAAATACCATAATCAATATTTGAAGGAGAGAAATAAAAAAAAAACAATAATGAAAATAATTTATCAATGCTAATTTTATATTAAGTAAGAATAACTGTTGTTAATGAGTCATTGGGAAAAATAAAGAAAAAGACAAGCAAGCAAAAGAAAAAATAAAATAATATGAGACTATGACCTTGATAGGATAGATCAGCTGAGTGCAATAAGCAAAAACAATAGATGTCACTTATTGATGGTATAAATATTTCATTGGTGCTTATTTATTCTTTTATAACCATTATTACAATTATTACTACTAAGGTATAGATTCTTATATTATGTTGTTCATAGAATTTATTGTAACTGATATTTGATTGACGAATAAATATTAAAATAAAGCTTATCTTGAGTTATTAGCTGGTTCGTCGTTATTATTTAGAGATTTTTTCAGATAGCTCGAACATTACTTTGTCGCATGGATAAAAAACGAGCCGTAAGAGATAATCTTGTACTGTTTTTCAAATATTCAGATTAGACAAGTATCATTTATAAACGATAATAATTGGAGAGATATGACCTTTTATATGGCTTATGAGGGAATTCCTTCAACTGATTAATTGATTTCCAGTCGAGACTCTATGTTGGATGTGTAGTCAAATGAGCTATAAATATCCTGGAAAGAGTTCGAACCTTTAGCTTATTGCTTCTGAGATATTGCACTTGGGAAATATTTTTTAAATTAATGCTGTAGTTCTCTTCAGAAATATTAGAAAATTTTATTTTCGAATTTCGACTTGAAACTTTTCATTCATACTCCATTCAATAAGAATAGCTTATTGTTTGTGCAACTATTAGATATTTTCGTTGTTTCTATCCTAATATTCAACTTGAATAAAAGCTTGTCTTTTATATTATTCATACACAGTAGCAGATTTTAACTTCTTATTTCAGAAAACGAGCAAATAAAAAGATTTCATAGTATTCTTGGAGGAACTACTACAGAGGTGCAGAATCTTCCAAAAATCCAAAAATTTCCCCCTACACAAAATTTTTTTTTGAAAAATTTCCCCACTGTATTTCTTTTTGGCCAGCGGGTTTTTCCAAAATTTCCCTATTATTTGAGTTTTTCAAAAAATTTCCCTCCCCGCGCGGGGGCGCATGAGGAAGATTCTGCACCTCTGAACTACTATATTGATTTCAAAGAAATACCGTAAAAATGCAGTATTTCACCAGCAAGAAGATATAGATCCGTACTTTTTTCAGTGTATTCATACTTTATTAAGGTTTACATGATGCCTTAAGTTTCGCACTTCTCTCGTTAGTAAGACAATAGCACATCGCTGCTTGTATCAAGAGCTGGTGTCAGAATTTTTTTTCTACAATGGGCCGAAGCCCAACAAAGAGTTTTATGACTAGAAGAAGACGAAAAAATATTTTATTATCTGGATTCTTCTTCCGAAGGAATTAAGCGAAAATTTCTGTTAGAATTTGACAGAAATTTGACGTAATGTGATTATTTAAAGTGCTTTGTCGCTTCGCTTCTCAAAAGTGAAATTAAGTCAATTTTTCAAAAAATACAAATGTAGAGGACTCTGAACTACTCTTCATCAGACTGTATAAGCATAGTCAAAGCAGTCTATAATGGAAATAATTAGCGAGTAAAGCGAAGTAAATTTTTTAAAATATGAAACCTAATTTAATTTCGTGAAATATTTCGAAAGTTTCATCTAAATTTATGAAGTGTTAGAAACTACAAAATTCTCAAGTACTACTAAACTGTGACAAAAGGATCCAAATGTAACTTGAATGAAAAATATAGTAAACTAAATGTAAAACATGAGGTAAAATGATATTACTATTATTTGATTTATTGTAGATAGTCTTAAGCATATCATTCGCTGTTTATTTATTTTAAACGCAGGTTATTTTGATAGAAATGTCAAATAAGTACGAAGACTATCATTCATTGATTATTAAATATAATAGTTTATCAAACTTCATGTCAAAAATCTTTCTCCTACGAGTAACTTGTGAAATCAACACTGTTATCATAGCTATCATTGCATTATATAAAACTGTTTTTTTTTCTTTATAAATATTAATATAAAAAATTTTTCAGGACAAGTTCAGTTAAGGTGTGGATGAGCTGAATCAATTCCTGGTATTGCCGTTATTGGTATAATACTTAGAAATATGATGATTTAACAAGACGAAGCACTCGTTTACTGTGTTTATTTATGATTTTCATTTGACAACTAACATTCGCATATATTTTAAATTATTCTGTCACATAAACAACAATTAATTTTGATTGATAGATACTATTGGCAGGTCTTACTAAGTATTCTCAACACATATCTATCAAGGCAAAGTCTAATCTTTTGTTATGTATATAATGTATTAACATCAAATAACTTGAGTTTCACATTGACGTCTCAGGTGAATAAGAAATTATAATATTAATATTGAAAAATATCGATGAAGTATTTTATTGATTATTTTCATATACTCTTTTGAAGTACAGAGCATGAAGCCTTGGAGAAAAAAAAACATCTAAAGACTCTATCACATAATTTCACTCTATCGCATAATTTCCTTTTTTTTATTTATTTATTGAATAGTAAGCTAGAGAAATCCTATTGGGAAATAAATTAATCTTGACAGAGAATCGATGTTGTCTGTGAAGTAAACGATTTCTGCCTATATTTGAATACATTTCAATAGAAACAATATAGTTATTCCATGATTTACATAACTGGAAAAGAAAAATCAAGCAGGAAACAATTTTCTTTGTATACATCAAAAGGTTGAACAAAATACATTGCAAAGGAGTTTTTTAGAATAAATCTCAAAGAAAAAACGTCTGTCAGATCTTTGACTCGATTATATTTAAAAGTTAAACGTAGATGTTAAATTAAATATCTTTAATAGACTCAAGCATTAGTACTCAACAGTGAACGAACTGGAAATTTTCTAAACAAAATTTTATTTATTTATTAATATTTTTTCTTATGTGTTTATCGGACTTTTTGATTTTTCACCCAACATCGAATATTAAGGGTAATAAATTTAAATAACTTAATGATAATAATAATAGACATTGTTTAGTTCATTTTGTTTATGTGCTATTGATGGACTTCTTCAACAAGAAACAAATTATATTTTGGTAAATTCTTTCATTGTTTGTATGAAGCAAATCAATTATGAACAATTTTTAATCATATTACTCTTCAAATGCATTCTTTTTACAAACTACTTAGATTTTGTTCTAGCCAATTCTTACAAATTGATTATTTTTTTTCGATAGAATATCAACAATTATTAAAGTTAAGTGCTTATGTTTAAATAGCAACGCGACATTTGATTTTCTCATTTCGTATAGAAAGGAAAAAAAATATATCTTCCTTCATCTATAATCGATACCACAGATGTACGGAATCGAGAGAAAAAACATTGTCGCGACTGAGACTACAGGAAAAATGGTTGTTTTAACTAACACTAAAGATTATGGTTGAATATTTTGTGATTTTAAGTGAATTATCTTATATATGATGTCAATCAGAATATAATTCAAATGCGATGATCCAAATAAGTGCAAGTCATTGACTAAATAAAACAAAAAAAAACGAGTATTGAAGAATCTTTTTAGATATTAAACGAATAAATTTTGGAATAGTTTTCTCTAGAGCGAGACCCAAAATGAACTTAATCTCACATATTTCCGATCAAATATTTTTCTGTTCCGTTCAGACATGAGTTTTGTATAAAATCTTTGAAGATTTAGTAATACATTTTTTTTGTTAATGTAATAAATAAGTTTTTATGTAGTCTAAGCAACCAATTGTAATTAGCTGTATTAGTTTTTTTTTTTTCGAAAATTAGTTATTTTTTTTTTCTGTATGTATCAAACATCAGTCCATTCTTGCATGAAAAAGTGAGTGAACAACTGATATTTTCTATGTTTTCCTTGCGTTCTTTGCATCTTCATCAACAAAACAAATTTCCTCGTCAGTTTCTACAGTCTTGGTTGCTTATATCTGTAAATAACGCAAGAGAAAAAAAGAAAAAAAAATGTCTCCTGGAAAATTGTTCTCTTTTTGCTTTGTTGCTCCGCCTATTTCTATAGATAGTTGAAATAGAAGTAAAGAAGGCAACATAATAAATTTTTTTTCTAGATTTCGCTGTACTGTTAATCCACCATCGGATATTAACAACAGTGGAAAAACTTCTAAAAAATTTAGTGAAAATTTATTTATTTATTCATCAAAGTAAAAAATCATAATTAAAAGCAAAGTTTTCTTTTTTTTTTCCTCAAAACAATGTTTAGTATGCCTCAATATTTATCTGCTGATAAAGAAAAAGAATTAGTTGAAATAGCTGCTACACTTATAACGAAAGGCAAAGGTTTATTAGCTGCTGATGAATCTACAGGTAGACTAAAACAATAATATTCTATTTCATAAAATGTTTATTAGCTTCAATGTTAAAACGTTTTCAATCAATTGCTCTTGAAAATAACGAAGAAAATCGTCGTCTTTATCGTCAAATTTTATTTACTGGTTCAAAAGAACTTTCAAATTATATATCCGGTGTTATTTTTTTTCATGAAACATTTTATCAATATGATAATAATGGAAAACTATTTCGTGATATATTAAAAGAAAAAGGTATTATTTCTGGTATTAAAGTTGATAAAGGTCTTGTACCATTGGCGGGTACAAATGGAGAAAATACAACACAAGGTCTTGATAATCTTAGTGAAAGATGTGCACAATATTATCGAGATGGAGCACGTTTTGCTAAATGGCGTATGTATTCAAATTCTTTGTTAACGTTAAAAAACTTTGTTTATTTAGGATGTGCATTAAAAATTGATGATGGTTTACCATCGGAATTATGTATTCGTGAAACATCAAATGTTTTAGCACGTTATGCATCAATTTGTCAACAAGTACGAACAAAGGAAACATATTTTATTGTCACTTTTAGAAAACAAGATAAAACCTAGTCTGTCTTGTGGAAAACCTTTTTTTTGATCAATTATATCGATATTTTATCTGATAGCGATCAAAGCGTTAAAAAATTCGAAGGAATATTATACCATGAGCTGAATATTTTCATAAAAAAAAAACAATTACACAGAATTAATTAAAAAATGTCACGCCTTCGATATACTCATTATGACAAAAAACAGTTTTTATGATTTGATTAAAACATAACAGAGATATGATATTAATACTGTAGCATGGGTACGTATACCCAACGTGGTGGGAGAAAGTTTAACAACAACTTATTTTTGATTTTTTTTCCTAGATGTTACAAAAAGAATCAGACATGGGAGTTTTCAATTTTCAGAAGCTATTTTTTAACAATGTTATGTTAAAGAGTATAAAATGAGAGATATTCACATTTTGTGCAGAATTTTACACAGTTTTAAATGAAATTGTTGAAAAAAAGCTTTTGAGAACAGAAAACTACTGCGTTCAGTTTTTTCGAAACGTTGTCAGCAGATGAAAGATTTCATTAACTATTCGAATCACTGTGCGAATTAGAGCTAAAAACTTACCATTATAGGTAAACCAATCAAAAATACTTTTCTGTTAAACTTTCGTTCAACATGTTGCATATGGATTATCACATTTCAGTAGTAAAATATTTCAACTAAATCGAAAAATTATTTAGAAAAATGATCAGAAATCAATTCTCTGCAAAATCTGATAGTTTGCAATTGATTTTGAACTATTTGACGGTTTCTAAAAATACTCACTACAGAAGAGAATCATATTGCACGTTCGATTGGTAGTACTGAAGATACCGATATTTGTGATCAGAAAAAGAATTCCTACAATATAGGCTAGATATCATCTCGCTTTTAGAAGACAGGACACTTAAATATGTTTTCTCGCAAGAAATAAAAATGATTAAGAGAGATAAAAAAAAAGAAGCTTTTCTCTTTTAATAATAGAATGGCATTGTACCAATAGTTGAACCAGAAGTAAGATTATTTTTGCTTTTTGAACAATATATATTTAATTGATTCATTGTAGGTATTACCAGAAGGTGATCATGATTTAAAAACATGTCAATATGTTACTGAAAAAGTCTTAGCAGCAACATATAAGGCACTAAGTGAACATCATGTTTTCTTAGAAGGAACAATTCTTAAACCAAATATGGTTACTGCAGGTTTGTTAAAATACACTTTTTTTTTTTTATTTAAAAAACAAAAGAAAACTATATTTTGTTAAATATAGGTTTTGATTGTAAGAAAAAATATAAACCAGAAGATATTGCTCGTGCAACAGTAACGGCATTGCAACGAACTGTTCCACCTGCTGTGCCAGGCATTTGCTTTTTATCTGGTATGTTTTGTGTTAATTAGTAAGGAACTATGTCATGTAAATATCTTTGTTTTTTTTTTCGAGGTGGTCAATCCGAAGAAGAAGCATCAATTAATTTAAATGCTATTAATCAATATCCAGGCAAAAAACCATGGACATTAACGTTTAGTTATGGACGAGCACTTCAAGCTAGTGTTCTTGCTACATGGGGTGGTAAACCTGAAAATATTTTAGCTGCACAAAATCAACTTCTAAAATGTGCTCAAGTAAAAATTGATATTTCAGATCTGTTTTTATACGATTCTAATGGGATGGAATTTTTTAGGCTCATGGTGCTGCTGCCAAAGGTGAATATAAAGGTGGTGCTAGTGGCACAGCTGGTGGTCAATCATTATTTGAAGCCAATAGAAATTATTAAATAATTTAATCTGTTATATGATTTCGTAGAATATTAATTTTTTTTTATGTAATTTTTCTATTGTTTCACATTATCCTTCTTTTGTGATTTAGTAGACGAAGAAACAAAAGAAAAAAAAAATAGTCCATATTAATCATCTAGTTCGCCGGTTTTCTTTTGCATTCGTATTTATTTGTTAAATATTTATCTATCAAAAAGAATCCGAGTCATATTCAGAAAACTCGTGGTGTTTATCGATTCATATACATATATATTGAAATAATAATAAAGAATTTCACGAATCACGATCTAAGGTTTTTTAAGATTATTGCTGATGTAAGGTAGTTCTTGACGTGTTTCTGTTTTGAATAATAGAGATAAAAATTTGGACGATCTTTCCCACTCACATATAGTTTATGAGAAAATTTCCTCAGATGTTTTCTTCTGGTTTCAATAAATCTTTACCGATAGATACTATATAGAAACCTAAGAAGACTTGAATTCTTGTTGAGATTTGACTAAGCTAATGAGTTTTTTGTGAGGTCCCAGTGTTTCAGAAAACGCTTTTTTTTCGAATTTTGATCCGAAATTTTGTGCATATAGGGAACTCAACAAGATTAGCTTCTATAAAAAAATTCAGAAGTTTTGAACAAAGCGATTTTCAAAAAATAGACCATTATCTATAGACAGTGTGCGTACAAGATGCATCTTTCGACAGCTTCATATCGCGAAGAGATTTTGTTCAAAACTTTTAAGTTTTTTTTTTTATCAAATTTAGTCTAGTTGAGTTTCTATATGCACCAAGTTTCACATCAAAACTCGAAAATACGAGCTTTTCAAAAATTCTGGATACCCGGAAAACAGATATGTCAAAAATTCGATAATTCAGTCAACTCTCAATATGATCAGCAATCTTTGTAGAGTTCTACGTATTATATTTAGACAAAAAGCCACCGAAATCGGAAGTGGACGTCTAAGAGAATTTCCTCGTTAGTAACCCCTCATTACAGACCTTCAGCGATGTTACTGACATTCGATTACAGACTGTATGTGAATAATGTCTCATTATAATGTATGGCTTACTTGCCTATTGCATTTTTGAAGCATTAATTAAAAGAATGATGAAGCAATGCGTTGCAAAATAAATAGAATAGAATAATCCACTTGTGATTAGAAATGACAGTTATCTTGTGTTTCACATTTCAATCGTGTTAGGATTGTGCCAATAACTTTTTTAAAAGAAAGAAAATTTATATAACATAAAGGGCATATATATTATTCAAAGCAAAAAAAAAATGAACTGCATTTTCTAGTTTTGATACATTCAGACGAATGGAAATAAGCAAATTTTATTATTTGTATATGTATTGATTTTGTAAAAGATTTTATAAAATAATTTATAAATAAATGTATCTGTTCAAATCTATTGATATTATTAATTAGAAAAAAAAACATTATTAGAAAGTAAATTATGAAGATAATAAAATGAAATTATCTCTATTCGACATGAATTGATATATCAAAACTAATAAAAAGAAAACATACACATATTGTCCGAATATATAAAATTAATTATATTGTTTTGAATTTGAAAGATTAAGGAATCTGTTTCAGTTGCATGAAGCATTCTATAGATTCATGTTATTATTATTATAGATAGACAATCAGTAAATAAAAGAAGATACTAGAAATCAATACTACTATACTTCCAATTTTATGAATATTTTTCTTAGGAAATTATCAACATAAAACTTACACAAAATATTGAACAAAAAAGCATTTATTTACGTTTCAAAATCGAAGAGAAAAAGGTTGAAGAATAAAAGTGAAATAGAGTATGATATTCTAAATTAAAATCTAATTGCTTCATCGAACAGTCTAACCCATTATATATATTCATTGTTTCAAAAATGATCTAAACCAAGAAATAAATTCTTCATACATGATATGAACTAACAATAATGATATCTTTCTAATGAAATTTATCTATTCCACAGTTTTAAATACAAAAAAAAACTACTTGAATAAAGAGTGCGACTTCATTGGAAGGTTTTCCCGTAATCATCATAAAAGAAAATCGTTTAAATCCATCGTCAAAGTTTATTTTACGATATTGTTTTGCTTTATTCAATTTTAAAATGTATCTTTTAGCTCATATACAATCAATATATATGCTAAGAAAATGAAGAAATATCTAGCACAAACGACTAGTTTTGCTCTTTATGTTCTATAAAAAAAAGAATAGCAATGTATCTTGATGAGTATATTGAATATTGTTTATCATCAAATATTAATCAGATTAGACATGAATTTTGAATTAGCTAAAACTGTTGCACCTTATACAATTCATTTTATTCATCTTTTTCGAACTTTTTATTTTACTTTATTTCATAGAAGAGTAACAGAATTTGTTAATTGATGATACTCTTCGATTACAGCAATGTTCGATATAATGGTGACAAGTGTGTTTGTTATTCAAACGAGAAAATGATACTTTCTCTATGTCGTATTAATGAAATGATTTGTCCATCTGACACCCACATCATATCATTTTCTTTTTTCTTTTTTTTACATATGACGACAAGACTAAATGGCTATTTTTTTTGTATCATTTTGTCTCTAATCGATTAGACAATTTAAACATAAAAAGACATTTGAACACATTTGATCTTTTTCATCTGCTCATGAACGACATATCCTCACCACGATCTCGTTGTTTAATAAAACTGATCGGTGGGGTATTTCATTCATTAGCATAATAAAAAAATTCCTCGATATTAATTTCAAAGAAAGTAAAAAGAAATGAAGGTAAAAATTTATCTTACTAAAAAAAAAAAAGCATGCTCGTTTTATTTATTTATTTATTTATTCGATAATAAAATCAAAAACATTGATTATCTTTTGGTTTACATTGAAATGTTTCAGAAAATTCGGTCATATGAACAAGTGCAGCATTTAATGCTGTTCTTTCATCATAACGACCTAATTGTGTTGCTACAAGTTGAAGTAACTCGTCTCGTTTATAACATTGTGTTTGAGCATAAGCAAGAAAAAATGTTTGTTCATTTGTTAAGTTTGTACCAGGCATTTTTAATGATTTTATTTGATCATTTTCTTTCAATGTTGTATATGCAAAACGAAGAGCACCAATATGTCGAAGAGTTGTTGGAGAAAATGGTTCACCAGCAAGTCTAACTAATACTTGTGTACCATATACATTATACGAAATATTTTGTACATCACGTACATAATAATTAGTTATGCATCGACGGCTTGTATTATATGCATTCTCTGTTGATGTCGACCACCAATCAGATGTTTGTGTTCCATTAGCTGCATGTACACGACCTAAATTTGATTAAATATTTATTTATTACAAGTCAAATAAAATCAAATTATTTACCTTCTGGTCCATCGATACTAGCAAAGAGTTTTTGAGCAAGAAGAACGCCTAATGAACCCATATTTACTGCCCTATGAAACAAAAGAAACCATGATTTATTTGCCTCATATATTTGTTTTTCTAAATTTTCTGAAAAGAAGTTGTGAAATAATTTTTTCAAAATATAAATCACGACTTCAGTTACTATTTATGAAAAAACTTTGTCTGATAGAAATTCCAAGATGGTCAACAATGAAACTTAGCTGGAAATAATCTTAGAAAAGAATTATTCTTATTTTAATTTTACTCTTGACTTATTCAAAAAAGATAAAAGCATAAAATTACAAAAACTTACCATGGCCATTCAGTATTAACAAGTGGTTCATCCATAGCACTAGCAATAACAAAAAGTCGATTAAACATTGCAATATAATCAAAAAGTCGACTTGTTCTTGTTTCAAAAAGATCCCAATGATCAAGTTGATTAGGATTTAATAATGAATTTAAAATAGTCCACGCATGAAATCGATGATAGCCATATGCATTTTCAAGATGAGAATTAGTTTCAACAGCAAACTAAATTTTTTCGTTTTGTTTCTCAAAATAAAAATTATATTATTTAATTAAATACATACTCTTTCATAATAATCATCAAGACGTTCATCATTCGATGCAATACTAGCATAACCAATAGCAGCTGTAAGTGCATCTATTTTTTGTCTTGCGATTGCTTTTGTTGTTTCATCAGGCATCCATGTTGCTTGTTCATTAATATATTTCTTTAATGCAGTTTTTAATGCATCGAAAATTTTTTGAACCTAAAATAAAATAAGAAAAGAATTTTGTTGAAAGAAAAAATTCAAATACAGTTTCTATTGTATTTGAATTTTTTGTTGAATTCATTGTATATAAACGATGAATAGCAAGTGGAAATCTTCGTATAACTTCACGTGTGCAATAAGCTTCATTTGTTGAATGTAATGTGTAAGTGTAATAATTATTAAGAAATATTCTATATGCATGTACGTAATTATATGAAAGATCTTCAATATATGTTTGAATAATTCTCCATCGCATATAATTATGAATACGTCGAGCCACTGTTGGACTAAATTTTACATAAATCGATTAAGAAAAATAAAATAAAATATATATATATATATTTATTTATTTATACTCATTATTTTTTGATAAGAATGCAAATACTTCGTCAAAATATATTTTATTTGTAACGTAAACTAATGTTATACCGGATACAACACTTGGATCACCTAGTTCATATCCCATTAATTCAACAAAATCACACTAAACAAAAATTTTTATTTTTAAATATAATTTTGAATTAATATATTACTATATATGCATCAGACATTTGTTTTAAAGTCAATAATGTTGTTTTATCACCATTATTTAAACTTTTTTGACGAGCCTAGAAAATTTTATTGAAAATTACGAAATTAAATATTTCGTGTCTTTTCTATAAATGTACTTCGGCTAAAATTTTTTCAACAAAGAGGATATCATCCAGAACAGTTGATATACGATCATAAAGATTTCCATCATTTATTCCAGCATCTTTTGTAAGTAAAGTTAATACTTCCGAAATGAATGTTCGATAAGCTGAAAGATGCTAAAACATAAAAATTCATTAAGTAATTTGCTTACAACATAATTTGTTAATAATAACAAGCATTTAACTTATTTCTTATTGAAAATCAATAATATGGAGTATTCAGAATATTTAGATCATTACACTATTACAAGTACACCATATTACATGAAACTGTTCATATTCCAGATATACTCTACTGAAGACTAGTAGACTATAGTGATAATATCTGCTGCTAGTTACATCCAACTATTATTTATATGAACAGACTAGTTCAAATCAGATATGAATACAGAATCGCGATGTATGATTTCAAATTTCATTTATTCTATTTATTTTAGGATACATTTTTTCGTCGTCTTTTTACTTAATCCTCCAGAAATGCAATAAACAAGTCGCTCATATATGATAACGAAGTGTTATTGATATATGGACTTTGATTATATATCAAAAACGTCTGTCACGCAGTAGTGGGAAGTGTTGCTAAGGTGTCTATCATGATGTGTGGGAAGCAAGAAAATTAATAAATAAAAATTTTTAATACATCAATACGGATGGTATTTTTATGTAAAAAAAAAAGCTTTTCTTATTCAATCGGATTACCAGATGCAATCTAACTTTCCTTTCAATAGCCTTTCAAATCATTAGATTTTTTGTTAATCTAGATAAATATATGTACAATTTTTTTTCAACTTACGTTTTGTGATACTGGATCATTTTGGAGATAATCAGTAATTTCCAATGTTAAACCAGATGGATAGAACTATAATATAATAATCAAAACATAATTTATCATTTTCTTTCGAATATTTTACTTCAAGTCGTTTAATATTTAGATCTGTATCATCAAATCTTACACGTAAACCAAATACAGCATTGGTACCTAGAAGAAAAAATTAATGAAAAAAAAAGTATATATTCTTTTTGAACATTTTTACCAAGGTCTCCATGAATATGTGACATTTGCGTAAAAATAGTTTGAGGTTTTAATAAAGTATCTTGACTAGCACCCGGCACACTATTATCAATAAGAAACCAACCATCAACTGTATCACGATCGCTGATTAAGTCTATCATAGCTTTACCACTATCAAGTACACGTGCATAATCATCTACACATTCTGTATAATAAGTCTAAATAATGATCAATAATTTACTTCTTCTTTTATTGCAACAAATAACAAAATACAAACTTTAACTTTACGTTCCCAGCTTTTTTGAGATCCACGAGAAATAGATGAATCAAGAAGACGTTCAATATCAACATCACGTCGAGCAATAATATCATTAAGTATTGTTCGTTCAGTATCAAATGATTGAATTGGATGTGTTTGTTGCCAACCGCCACATGCATATTTATAAAAATCTGTACAACGATCAGCAAATGCTGTTGGGTCCATAAAATTTAACTGATGTGTTGCTGCTGAAAGACATCCTCGATTGACACAGTATGAATTGACAACATTGTTAGTATTATTTTGTCTACGATGTTTTGCTTGAACAATTACAGTAATTAGAAGTGCAGTTGAGAGTAGACCAAGTAGTATTAGTGCAGCACCAATAAGATGTCTACGATTTATACGACTGAAAAAAGTGTCCGCTGGTACCTCTTGTGGAAGTCCAACAATAGTCGGTGGAGTACTCGTTTCTTTATTCATTTTTTTTCAATTACTATTCGTCTTACCTTCTCTTTATTTTACTGATAGCTAAACAACATTAAATATAGATGCATCAAAAGACAAGATAACGTTATGTGAATATACTTCTTTTAGCGCACTTTTGACTTTTTATTTACAAACCCTCTTATTTGCCTATGACATAGATAACAATAAACATATCGCTTCAAAGTATTCAAACATATCTTCACAGATAATTTACATCTACTTCAAAATCTACTAATGTAAGATATTTAAGGATATGGTTGTCGCAAAAATTTTTCTTCGGAAAAATATGAATAAGTGATTAAAAGAGGCATCAGTAATTGTTTCAATAGTCTTCCTCGAGAAACTTGATTTCATCTAACCAGTTATGTAAAACTATTTGCACTGTGCACAGATCGATTGAAATAGTCAATGATCATCACATGCACATAGAATCATATTGTTAATAATAAACAGCTCATTTTCACTGCCCATTTGATGAGCGACTGAACTATGTTCATATGACTTGATAGCATTTTCCAAGTAGTTCAAAATGATATTAAAAACATCGAGAAAAAAATTTTCGCCTTGTTTTATTGATATTCTAAAACAATATCTCAAGATGAGCGAACTTAGTTGTATTTCATATATTTTCAGAAACTTTTTTTTCATTGAAAAATTCATTGCTGATCTCCTAAAGATGTGCTCAAAAAAATCAATTTCATCGAAAAGTTATTTTAACAGTGTATATTAAGCTCTAAAGTTATAAAATAATAGTAGAGCTCAAAATAGCAGATGACTAAGCAGCAAAAACAAAGTTTTCATAATATTTATTTGTTAAACCAACCTTGAAGGGACTAGTTGTGAATTTTTTGATAAAAAGTTTGGAGAAATACAACTGAATTCACTCCATTTGGGATAGTGATTCAAAATATAATATTAGTTTTTCAAACCAATTATAATTTTCTTATCGAAATCTACTGAATACCAATTGGTAAAAACGACTCAAAACCTTGTCTAAACAACAATATTTTTAGAATTTCTTCGAATAGCTACTGTCTACGTCTTGATACTTTGATACCGTTGTGAAGCTCATAGAACGTGCTATAGAATCAAATAAAAATAACTCGATCGTTGATGAGATGGATAATGCGGTGTAAAGCTAAGTAGTTCTGTAGTCGTTTGCGTATGCATTCGACTGTCATGCTTTGTATTGTGATGATCTAGATAGTGGCGAGTCGCTAGAAATTCGTTTGAACTTTATGAGAGAGATTGATTTCTCGAGAGCATACCAGTAATTTTGAATCTTCAATATGAATTTTTGTTTGTGGTCAATAAGTTCCACAAAACGACGATTTGACCTTCATCTTTTACTCGAGATAATTAAAAGTGATGATGAATCTTCCATCAGCTCTCGTGCACAGAAGACAAAATGAAACCTTCGACAGAGCAGGATCGACTTTAGGTGAGAGCGTTTATCGTTTTTATGTTAATTAAAACCCTCATTGCTGAAATTTGAGATCGCAATGGAAACAAGCATCAATATCATTTTGTTCTACTAGAGATCACTTTCGGATACCTAAAGTGATAGTTTGACATTGAAGAAATCAATTTTCTCGATGATGCCAATTACAACAGTTATCAACCGTTCCCTTGCTTTATTTATCAACTTCATGAACAATATACTTTCTTTGTTCGGCATATGTAAATTTCACTTTTGCTCTTCTGTACAATAGTAGTGTTCAATAAACTTTGCAATATCATCCTATTAAATAGCAGTCAATAAATTTCCAAAACAATTATATCATATCTTTGTTTTATATCTTGAATAGGGCTTATCTTTATCTTTATTGTATTATTAGTTTCATTAGCCTGATCATCTTTTGCAGAACTATTCATAAAAATCAGTTTCAATTAGAATTATATTTAAAAAAAAACGAAATTTATTTCAAACAATAATAAAAAAACCATTTTTTGTTTAGTCCAATTCAAATCCACAACAACGTGGTGCTGCTCCACCTGCACACCAACAATCAAAACAGATATTTAACGGTACAGGATCAGTAATTTTTGTTGCTGTCCCTGTTGGTTTTGGCTGAAGGCTTTTACAAACAACACATTGAATTGAATTCGGATAACCAATTGAACCATGTTTTTGACAAAGACGTGCTTCACGTTTGAAAGCATTTGTTTGTGTCATATTTCCTCCTATAATCATATTAGAACAAATTAAACATGAACTTTTTGCCATTGTAAATGGTCCTAGTTTAAATTGCATGGCACATATATGACATAAATAAGCACGTTGATTAAAAGGATTATCGATATTAGGAATAATTTTTGTACAACGACGTCTCTAAATATAATGACAAGAATATATTGATTGTAATATTTTATAAAATAAATATTCTTACACGTAGATATGCTTGTCGATCTATTCGACTAATTCCACGTGATTCTGATGAACGTAAATATGCCACAAGTTCTTTATACATATGAGCTTCTTCATAATGATATGGAACACGACGAGAAGAAAAATCTTTAATTGTTGAATGTTTAAGATAAAAATCAGCCATAAAACTATGTATAGAACGTATTTCATCTGTATTTTCTTTCAAACAACGTTTTCGTAATATCTAATAAATAAAAATTCTTATATACACAAATATATCTCATATACATATGTGTATCTAAACCTGTTCAAGTACTGCATGACGATAAATAACAAGTTGATGTCCATCCATCCATGTTGTATCAAGAAATGTTTTCATTTGTCGTTGTAATGTTGACCATGTCATTCGATTTACAACAATTTGATTATTTTCATTTATAGTTTTGTTCATAAAATGTTGAAGAATATTAACTATGTCGGATTCCAATAGACCAACATTCGATATAAGTAATAATTTGAAAAACTATGAACAAAAAAAGGAACCATTTATTATTTATTTAAATTATACTCTAAAATTTTTTACTTACAGCATCAACAAGTGATTGATTATTAATAACTGAATAAACTTCATTCAATAGTACATTAAGTAATTCTTCTATTGTTTGTGGATATGTTGTTAGACGATTTGTTACAAGTGAATAATCACCAAATTGACGAAGATTTTCACATATATAAGATAAATAAAGAGCATGTTCACAACCTTTATTGTTCAAAAGTAGAGATATTTGTTCTGGTTCAAGAGTCTATTTTATAAAATAAAAATAAAATTAATTAAAATATATTCAAATAAAAAGTATAATGCATATTAGAATGTGCATTATGGGTATAAATACTGAACAGTGAGTCACTGACATAGAGTTCACTGAAGCACTGATTATACTGACATTTGTGTTAATTACAACATTGAAACATCAACTCTGGAAAAATATATTCTTTTTTTTTGTAGCGGTGTATTCAAATGCTTCAGTGAACATTGGTAGCACTGTGTCAGTGTGCACTAACTATCCTAGGCCAGCGACGACGACGGTCAGTAAATTGACACTACACATCTCTAGATGAGACGAAAGAATAATAAAATCAGTTTAATTCAAGCAGTTCATCAAAGAATCATTCGTTGTTTGTAGAATGTCAATTTTCATTTATTTAATAAAAACAAACAAAATTTTATCTGAAAATATTTTTTTGCTCATGTCTGTAGATGATAATCAAGATTATCTTTGGGTAGACAATTATAACTGTTATCAATCTATTGGCCTAATTCATTTTATCTGTTTTCTTTCTTTGTACTTTCATTGTCGATACTTTTTTCTTCAGGTATTATTTCTATTTAGTTTATAAAGTCTTGTATGTAGGTGTACAAGGACCATTAATTTGTAATATCGTCTATGTAGGTACTTGAATATCAATATCTTCAAACCATAAATATATGCAATTTAAATACGGTCGACATTTACAATAACGTGAAATAAAAGATCACAAAAAAAGTCACACACATATCTATAAATATTCAAATAAGAGAACTTTCTTGTCTAAGCAAAGGAAAAACTATCCTTTTTTTTCAATAAACATTAATAATCTATTGAAAGAATTAAGAATGTTTATCAATAGAAGTTAAAGCAAAAAAGAAAGGTTTTCTTCATTTTCTATTTTATATATTTATAAATTTTTTTTTTAAACAAATTTCTCATATTTTTTTCAAATGAAAGTTTATAAAACATCTAACTTTCTTTTCTAAAATGAAATTCAGCAAACAAAAGAAAAAAAATTTTCATTAAAATTACTCGTCATAAAATCAACATCAAAATATATCAGAAAAAAAAGCCACGAATTATTTAACATAATAACCTTTTTTTGTCATTCTTTCAAAAGAAGAAAAGAAAGTTGCATACCAATCTTTTTATTTTTTTTCATTTGCATGAAATAAACTAATCTTTAAAATATATCAAGATCGATTAATAGTTTTTCTTGTTAGTCATAAAAAAGTAAATGACAAATTTTTTATCAAGCATATGTCATTATACAAATGAATAACAACATTTTCTCTAAGCTACTATTATATAAATCAAATCATAGTTTTTATATATCAAATAAATGCATCAAGAAACTATAAAAACTTCTCATGAAAATATATCAATGTCAACTAATAGTTTAAATCAAAATACAAAATTTGATAATCAATCATTTATTTCAAGCAGAAAAATTGAAAATATTACTAAAGAACAACAACAACATAGAAGAACAACTATATATCTTAGTAATGTTCATGCAAAAAGTGCTGATTATTTTCAACCAACATCAACAATTATATCATCTTCGAGTACTCGCGCAAGTACAATACATGTAAATGAATTGCATAAAACAGAAGATGATAATGGAAAAATTGAATTAACTACACTTAATAATCATTTTGAAAATTATCTTAATCAAATCAAAATTTTAGCTAATAGAAATATTAATCTTCGTCATGAAATTGCTAATATTTTACAAACATATATGAGCCCAATGGAAGAAGAAAAACAAAATGATAATAAAAATTCTTGTTCATTAGAAATTGAATTTAATAATTTACGTCAACAATTAAATCATGAATTACGAAAATTGATAAAAATACAAACACGTTTACAACGTGCTGATTATGATAAAAAATACTATAAAAATAAAGTAAGATTATTTTCAAAATCGGATCAATATCAAATAATTCAACAACAACTTGATGCATATGTATATGAATTAAATCTATTAAAAGAACAATATGAAAAACAAGAACAAAATTTAATAGTAAAATTATTTATTTTATTCTACATATTTATTTCAATAATAGTTCAAATTGAATAGATAAACGCGTTTTTGAAATCCATTTTTGCTTTGAGAATTTTCAAACTGTTTGGATAAATTGAAGTTAGAAAAAGATTAGAGCTGAGATATAGGACGAATTATTCAGCAATATTTTCTCGCAATCATGATATTCTAACAAGCGTATCTAGAGACGTACGATACCAAGTTTTTTCTTTTAGTCCCGGTGTCGATATTTCGATCTAGAGAAAACTATTGCAGAATTTATTTGTAGAATATCTAAAAAATTCTTAAATAGTTATTTTTTTTTTGTTTGCTTAGTCGATACATAGAGAATCTGTTTCTGTCATCTCTCTCGCTGAAAATCATAGAATACTCCAGTATAATCTTTGATTCAAGTTCAGACTACTTTTTCCTCGTAGTGTTTGTTACAAAGCTCGTCTTGCATATCTCTAGTCATGATGATTATTATGAAGAACATTGTCAATCTGGGAAAAGCATCCAATCGAATATGAAAATTAGAATTTTTATTGAGACTTCTTGTTCGATAGTATATCAAAATGCTAACTAATGAAATCTTCTGTTTCTTCTGTAGATATAAATGTAGGTTTTTCTGTCTTTAGTCATACAAAAGACAATACAACGAATATATTATGAAATTAATTGAATATACAAATGAATATAATAAAATAATTTATGAACGTATACAAAGTGAAAATTCATTACATACTCTTAATGAACAATTATTATTTGAACGTGAATATAATAAAAAATGTCAACAAGAATTTGAACAATTTGAAAAAATTCAATATGATATAAATAATGAATTTAATAAAACAGAATTTAAAAAAATACTTGAAAAAATTCGGTTTGTATTTATTATTTAAACAAAAAATTTTTTTCTCTAGTCTTTTCTTTGGTTTTAGTCAAGATTTCCAAAATTATAATGAAATTCAATTATCAGAATTAGAATTATATTATAAAACAAAACTTGATTTAATACAAATTAATTTTCGAGAAAATGAAAATGAATATGAAAATGAAAATGAAAATCATTCCGAAGAAATAAAACAATTAAAAGAACAAAATCAATCACTTCAAAATAAATTAAGTAAACAATTAATTTTTTTTTTACTACAAACAACATCTTTGTTTTCTTTTTTTTTATTTTCAAGAACAACTTGAAAATGAATTTCATCATATAGACGAACAATATCAACAGCAATACGATTTGTCATATGATGAATATTATCACTTAGATATTCAAATATCTGAATTAGAATCTCTAATTTTATATTCACGTACAAATACAATTCAATTATCATCAGAAATAAATACATATCGATGTTTACTAATGAATCTTGCTTCATCATTTCAACAGAAACATAAATCTTCTTCTCAAAAACAACAAACTAATAATTTTACTTTTCATTTTCGAAATGGATTACTCTATGTTAGAATTTAGAATATAAAGAACAAAAAAACACAAGAGAATTTAGTATTAGTATTTGTAATTGCTTTTTCTTTAAACTTACTTTATTAAAACGATGAAAAAATTGTTCAATATATAAATGACGTTGTTCATTTGTTAATGGTTCAAGTTGTAATAAATAATGAATATGATCATGAATTGTTTGATGTAAACTATTATTTGTTTCACAACTAATTATAATATATGTATGATCAGTCATTAGTTCTTGAAGATAGAAAAATGGAAACTCTTCTCTATATTTTCGTCTTTGATGAATATCACCCTAGAGGAGTTTGATTTTTTTTCAAAAAGAAAATTGTATCAATTTTTTGGCTTACTTTATCTAATCCATCAACAATAATAAGAAGTGGAATAGGTAAAAGATTAATAGCATCTGATAAAAATGAATCGTCTGTTATTTTAAGTCGTTCGCCTGTTTTTGAAGATATTATATTATTTTCCTCTAAATAATAGAAAATTTTTTTTATGTGTATCTTTTCTTTTTTGTCGTATTTAAATTTACCAAGATATTTATCGAGTTTCTGTTTTAAAGTAGTTAACATAAAATGACTAGCATTAGCATGAAATGCTCCATCAAGAAAATGATAGAAGAGAAAAAATTTACTTGGAAATTTTTCCTATTCAATATAAATATTAAAATAAATCAAGATATAGAAAGAAAAAACATATTTTTTTAGATTTACTTCAATCGCTAACACGAATTTTCCAAGTAATATCGATTTTCCATCACCTGATCGACCTGTAACAACCATTAGAGGTTGAACATTTTCATTTTTTGCATCCGTTGCTAAGAAATTTTATTAAGAATAATTTTTAATACAAAAGAATGTTTTGTTTTTTGTTATTTACCACTGATTAATTTCAAATCTTTGTGATCACCTGTTATATATTTAAATAAAATTGAAAATTCATTAGGTCGATCAACAAAATATTGAGTTTTATTAAGAAGAAATGTAGTCATTTGTTTTTGTTCTAGAAAATAATAAAAATAACCAACATATTTATATTTTCTTTCTATTGGAAAATTTACCTGCATCTAATGAATTAGTATTATGGAAATTAGTCGGATACCATTTTTGAATAGCTTGAATTAAGAAATTTTTTGCGTGTTCTTCAAATTCATTTAAACCATCAATTTTAACCTTAGATAAACATACATATGTAAAATAAAAGAAAACCAAATTATTAGTTTTTTAATTTTCTATGGCTTACTCGTTCACGTCCAGTTGATGAATCAAGACCATTATAATAACAATCATAATGAAAAATTTGTTCCGAAGGAAACATTTTCGGTAATTGTTCTTTTAATTCTTGAATTTGACTTTGATTAAATTCATCTTTATCACGAAATTTATCTTTATATACATCAGGAATATTTTTAAGAATATTTTCTGATTTTCGTATTAAAAAAAATGCATTGGGATTATGTGTACGAAATGCACCATGAATAAATTCCATTAATGTTATTGATGCTCCATCAATCCAACGATATCGTTCAGTTATATTCTTTGGTAACTCATTAAGTTTTGGAACCCAACCATATCTAAATCAAAAGAAAAATTTTATTTCAAATCTGAATAAACGAATATTTGAGCACTATGCGCAGAGGCATAAAATATGCCGCGAGAATACAAAATTTTCTCTGTCGTCTACACAAAAATACATCATTTTTGTAAAATATGTGTAAAAAACAAGGCGAAGGAAGAAACAAGACTATTACTCAATCAAAATAATGTTAGATTAAAAATACCTAATTAATTTCATCAATTATCGGATCATACTGATAGTCTTGATACTTGATTATTCCAGAAACGATTTATTACAACACAAGACATAGAAGTTTCCATGTAAGATATTGTTTCGTTTTCTTGTGAAGGAATGCTAGTTACCTCAAATCGAGATAAAATCATCCGAGAGTAAGGATAGGAATTTGAAGCTGAACAGTATAACGAAATGTGTTAACTTGTTATCTTTTTTTCAACGGTTTCATTGCGGTTTGTAGTACAAACAGTTTATTATATACATGAGGAAAAAACAAAATACAGGTCAACCTAAACAGTCACGCCAGTTCACGAAAAGCTCTAATACTGGCCACATTTATAAAACTCAACAAAGTAAAATAAAACGTATTATTGCACATATGCATGTCGAAGGAGAGATGTATTCGATAGTGAAAGAAATTAAATAAAAAATAATTTAATCGTTTTCTATTAAAAAATCAATTATGCAATTTATGCACGGATTTTGTATCCAGATTGGTATAAAATTTTATTAGCTAATATTCCGCGTTAAAAATGTCTCATATAGACAAGCATTTTCTTTAAACTTTCCCCTACGAGCGACGTGCACACCGTTAAATTCTGCACGTCTGGTACTATGCATTCAGATTAATCTATTGTAATTGATCCGCTTGACATGACATGAAATCAACTGAAATAATACAGTGCATGTATTAGAATAGTAGAAAGATAAGAGTAAATATAATAAAATAAAAACTCACTTATCACTAAGAAGACCAATAAAAAATGGTTGACCATTATCTTCAAAACATCGATCAAGTTCTTCAAGACATGTTAATATTGTTTGTTCGGTTGTTGAATCTTTTGGAACCTAAATTAAGTTAAATAACGAAATATTTGATTACATAATAAGATGTTTTTTTTTCCCGTTAGGAATACTCGATTTCATTTCCGAAGGTTTTCATTCAATCGGAATGTTTTCTTCTTAATAAATGATTATAGAATTTATATTTTAATCTTGTGAGAAATGTGAGATCGGATAAAATGGGATTCGAGACTCGAAACAATTTTGTCTCGCAGGACTCTAATATATATACATAATGAGATGAGATCGAATAATTTCGTAATATATTTGAGTCATACGAATGGATTCAAATTTCATCTACATGACCATTGTCCACAGAGGTTAGATCATGATCTAAATTTACTAATTAGAGTAGCATTTTACTATTCAATGCTTGTTCAAAATCATCCAAAAAAAAGAAGACAAAACATAGATGCAGAATCAAAGCTATAAATATTCGTTTTTGTAATATTAGTAAATGACTTATGAAAACTTCTTTTGTGTTCTGTTGATCTTTTTCTATTGAATATTTGGATGAAAGAACAGTTGTTAACCTGCTTATTCTACAAAACATTCATTTTTTTTAATCATTAACATATGTGCTCCATTTCTAATAGTCAACAACAAAAATATTCATAAGAACTTAATTGCTTTAATCTTACTTACACCCCAACGAAGGTCACAATCAATTATTTGAATACCTGCAGATTCCATTTCATCACGTAATGCAGGAAATACCTTTCATTCCAAAAACAAATGTTGAATAGTTATGATTTCATAGTAAATAATATTCTTACTTTTTTAATAAGAACTTCTCGTTCATTAAAAAAGTCTGTAAATGTAGATGAAACAAATATTCGTACAACTTTATTTGGTGCTTGTTGTCTTCCATGATCATCATTATGTTCCAAGGTTTGATTCGCAATATGTTCATGAAGTCTATCCCAAAAATTATTTGTATCTAATGGTGGTGTTTCGTACCGAAAGTCAATAGTAGTCGGACTTAATGATGATTTTGATGATCCATTTTCTTCTATTGAACGAGCTGTTTGTACAATAGGTGGTAGTTTACGATAGTTTCTACGAACATGAACTAGAGTTCGAAATGGAAAACGTTGTTGTGATTTACTTGGATGTGACATTACTAAAAAAAAGAAGAAAAAAAAATGAGAACAAAATGACGGCAGAAAAAAAAGAAAAAAAATTACACCATGCAATTTTTCTGTTGTTAACAACCACGAAGAAAAGAAAAATCTTACCAGCATAGCAACTTTTTATCGTTCTTTGCCTTTGAAAAAAAATTGCATATATATATATATAAACCGGGTCATCTCAATGGTTTAAACTAATATTGATATGTTTTATTTGATACAAAAGCTAATTTGAAAATAATACTCAACATCCATATTCAGTAGATTTTATTTGTTAGAAAAAATCAAGTGCACTAGTTATAGATAATAGATATAAAATGTTATTGTCAATTAAAAATATTTGAAGAGTAAAAGAAAAATAATACAGTATTTTCTAGTTTCATAAGATCATCTATTATTTTATCTGTAGCTATCTTTTACAGGTGACATTGTTAAAATGAATTAGAATTGTTGAAAACATCATAACTTACAAACAACACTTAAAGCATGACTTTTAGTACTTATGCATTATCATTTTTATGCTACGCAGACAAATTCATTACCTATAACGCCCTCTGCTTGTTATTTGACTTGTCATTTTATGCGTGATGGAAAAGTAATTAGTCGAACTGTTCACTCATTTTTTGAGCTTTTTTTTTAAGGAGTCTGTAGAAATTTGAAAACATTTGACTAGATCGGAATTTTTATACCCTTTTCGTATATGGATTCAACATTTCTTGTAAGATTTCAATTTTAGAAATTATGAACCGACTTTTTACAGAAACATGAATTAAGTTCGAACGAACTCAAGCGTGCCAAGTATTTACTTAAAGTAGAAACGAAAGTTATTTCAAATACAGCGAATTATAGAACAAATATTTTTCAATAAAATGATATAGTAAGGATTAGTTAGCTCTTAGTCATTTATTAACAATTTACGAATTATCTAAAAGATTGACTCATAACTCCTAAATCAGAAATCCTCTAAAAAAGGATGAACCTATGTTCAGACAGAACATAAAAATTCTGATTCTAACTCATTGTTTTCAAATTTCCGTAGCTTCTTAGAAAAAGATTGAAAAATGAATAAACATTTTCTTTAATTACTTTCGATCAGTCGTTAATTTATGCTAATCGTAAAAATACTCGACTTTTCAAAACCAACCAAAAACTTCTTTTACTAACACCCAAATTTCGATGACCTATACTCACTAACACGCATTCAATATGGATCGTTGAAAAATGATTAGCTCAGCAAAAAAGATTAAAATCAATCTCTAGAAACACGCACAAGCACTCATAGTCATGTCTTCTGAAATGAATAAGTACCATTTGTGAATCACTATTTTGTATCATTTTTTTCACATAAAAATCCGAAAAATGACTCAATAATGTCTGAAACACACCTACAAACATCCAAAAATGGTTATAATAATATATGAAAAAGATTTAAATTATTTTCGATAATATCGAATCCACTGATTTATATACAATTGCAATAAATTCTTATATTTGTATCTTAAAAACAACTTAAAATAACATCTTTAAAAAGAATGAAAACATTCGTTAACAGTCAAAACATGATTGTATTCGATCTATTAAGTGATATAGAATAGAAGAATTTATAATCTAGAGAAATAGTGCAAAGTTGTAAAGATGAGCTAGTGTAATCATAACTTTCGGATCATTGTTGTGGGGACATTCGCATTTTTGTTTTAAATTTTAAGATTTTTCGAAGTAAAATTCATCAGAAAGTATTTCGAATACATTTTCAACGAATGCATCCTCTTATAAGTGGATAGTCCTTAGGAAAAAAGTCTTTTTTTGTTAGAATAATGCATTACGCGCTTCAAATTTATGTTGTGACTTTTCTTGAAACAAGATTTATTCAAAAACAATTTAGTTTGTTTTTGTCATTACTTTTCATTTATAAATCATTGTGTTCTCGCCTTGATGTTGATATAAAATATTGTATAAGATTTCAACGAATAATTCTTTTTGAAAAAATGTATAAGAGTAATAATCAGTTGAGGAACATGGACGGGTTGTCTTGCAAATTGTTTATTTAACTATATTTAATGTTGACAACTAGTTGATCTCTTCTTCGGTTGTGACTTTTTAGGTATATTTGTTTGTTTTAGACATTCTGATGGTAAATTTTGTTAAAAAAAAAAAAAAAGAAAACATCATAAGCAAATGACAAATCACTTCTATTAGTAATTAACAACAAAGAAGATCAACCACTGCGTTTCATTGATTAAATGTTCGTTAATCGAACTTGAATCTTTCGATCAAAGTAGATGTGAGTCATTTAAGTACAGAATGGTTCGCCTTAAGCAGACAAGAGTCAATTGGCAATTACATTTTCAGATTTGATCTAAAAGGTAAACTTTAAATATGAGTTATTCCGTAAGGATAAAGTAAAAAGTAACTTCGAAGTTGATTATACATGACTTAAATAATTCTATATCGTATCTATATTATAGGAAACCTATTCATCAGGATACCAATAAACAAAATAATGAATCTATGAATAATTCCCTCTATACCAACAACAGAGTTGTGTTGAATATAGGTGTATGGGATTAAATATTCTTATTCTAATATATACAACTGGAATGGACAATTTTAGGAAGTAATAAGTTCATATTGCTTTTCCAAACTTTGTTCGGAGGGAAGCACTTACTACTTCTTGTATTGCTAGTATTCCGTCCCTAGTAATGACTATAGTTGTGCTGAAAACCATATCACAAATGTTTCCATAAAGTTTGAGTACTTTATAATTAACAAATAATCCAAGACAATTTATCGGCATTAGAATAAGTTTTTGTTATAAACAAGTCAAAATCGATTCCTCATATTTGAAACATTAAATAACACATGATTTGATTGTATAATCAATTTATCAATATATTATATCTTTACTTTGTTTTGCTTTACTGCTGTTATGTTTGTTTATTTGTTTTCATTTTTTTTGTTCTTTCATATTACCAAAAAAAAACAAGAATAGCAGCTTTTCTCTTTTAGACATTGATGAAAAAAACGAAAAAAGAATATCAAGTATGTTTATGCTTGATTGCATTACATAACTAACATACATATAAATAGTAAGTAAAAAGATACTGTCATTTACTGATTCTCCTCATTTATTTCTTTACATCTGTTTCTTTTTTTCTTCTATTTCCAATAATTATATATATATACCTGTTTCATCAGATATAAGATTCATTAGTGCTTGAAATATTGCATATTCATCAACAAATATACCTTTAGAACTAAATTGTTGTTTTTCTATTTGCGTATGATTGAATCTTTTCTATTCGCTTCAATAGTTGTGATTACATGCATATATACCTTGAACATCAATTTGAAGGGTATACGAAAGTTACAAACACAACGAGTGATGAAGGTTAGAAAACAAAATAGACACAATAAACCTTACTACATCCATACTCGTAACACTATTCTCACATTGTACCATCACTTAGTGCTTACAGATACCTCGTGCGCATCTTTCAAGATCGTCAGTTTCAGATAATATAGGTATTTAGTTTTTCTTAGAGATAAAAATTTTAATACAAGTTTTTAATTGGCGAGATGGGTAATGCAGCATATCGACAAGGACGTGATTCTACAATTGAAATATCAAATTTGTAAGTGACCTTCTTCTTTAGCTTATGATAAATATATAAGTTTTTTTACATGAATATAGTACTCAGCATTATGGTGGTAACTCTGATTTTGTTGCACATTCACGTAAAATTTGCTTATTATTAATTAGAATAAAAATATTACCTAACTTATTTGAATTTTAGGTGCTGTTACTATGAATCCAGCACCATGGGATGTAACACAATGGATTGATCCATTTGAGCCTTATCCTAAAATCAACTCTCTTCCTGTTTTACTGGTTAGACGTAAATAAAAAGTCAACGTCAACGTCAATAACAATTATTAAGAAACATTTTTTTTTAATTTTTTTTTCACCGCAGAAAATATGTAAATTGAAGTCTTCTATCTCATGGTTACCTAACTTGATTTTGTTGAAATACTAAAAATATCAACATCAAATTAATGTCTGTGCATCCTGTGAATTTCTCAATGAAATAATTTTTTTAAACAAAAAAAATAAATCTTCTTGAAACTGATTATGTTTCTAATTATTCAAAGTTGTTAATTTAGAATAGCCATGTGGAATTTTCAAATTACATTTAATTACCGTTCATTGATGATATTTAAAATGAGATGAAACTATGCTTTAGATACGCTTGTTAATGAGACAAATAGACATAACAAGTCTACTAACGAAGTCCTATATGACAAGGATGTTTTGTGTATGATAAAAAGTCGAATCTTGTTTCACACACATCATTGTTGCACAAAATGTGTTTGTTGAAGAATCTAAGGTAGTAAAATAATATTATCAAAAGGATTTAGAAGAATAAATGAAACAAGATTTGTTTATTGATTTGATCAAAACTACAATCCATTGTTCATTGAAATAGAAAAGTCCTTCACATTAAACATTTTCAAATTAAAAAGAAATAAAATACATATGCAAGGTAAGTAATGACGAATCATTATATATTGACGAACAATGTTATATTTGAAGTATGAACAGATAACGATCAATTGAAGCATGATCTATCAGTATTAAAGTAATCATTCTGAAAAAATAATCAGATCACAAATCAAACTTTGCAATAAACTTATCTAATTCAAATAAAAAAAGACTTCAAATAGAAAGAAAGATTATTTTTCTGATAAATGATTTTGTAAAAATTTTCATTTTTTTTCAACTTATACATTTTTCTTTTTAGGCATAGTATGAAGAATGCTTTGCGAAAGATGTTTTTTCATTATTAAAAATGAATTTGCGAAATTCTTCTCAATCATTTTCTTTTGAAGTACGCAATAGTTGTTTTTGTTTTTTTCTTCTGACGAAAAAAATTTATGCTCAGAACCATAGATATGATCAATATGAAGTGTCCAGCGACATATATGTCGCATAAAACTAAATTGTCTCGATCAAAACACAAAAATATTTCTAGAGCTTGTATATATCATATTTTTAAAATTTCTTAACAAAATTCTAAGTCTTCTAATGTGTCAACAATCCTAGTCAATCTTTAGATGACTTACTTTTCTTTAGATTCTAACTTCTTACTGAACAAAAGAAACCATACCAATCTTAAAGTTGCCAATAATCAAATATACAATAGAATATTGTTTTGCACTGGTATAATTCTTCCATTTGAATCAAAAATTCAAATGAAATCACACAGCTCTTAATATAAAATCCATCCTTTCTGTTTGCATTTTTCATGAAAGTCTATTGTATTTTTGTACACCATATTCAAAACACTAGAAGTGACAAAAAGATATGAAACGATATTGTTTTCTTATATCTATGAAAAGAATGTGCAGTTAGCATATATCATACATACCCGCCATCTATACGATTGCAAGAAAGATATTTTCATCAGTATGATGATTTGAAATAATAATAAAATTCTAAAACATGTTTTAATTATAATATATTTCATTTAGAAGAATTTTTTGTACATGAAGGCAAACCATTGCTTATCACCACCAATCAATAAATCCACTGTGTAGTTTATATAGTTGAACTCGAAATAACATTCCCCATTTTTTGTGTTCGATTCACCTTGAACACTATCTCCCTATTGAACTCCAGATTACTTCAGATATTCGCTATAGAAAACCTGTATAAAGAACACGTTTATCATAGTCAGTAAGTATAAAAGTAATTTTTTTTATTTTTACGTTATTAATTGGATATGATGACTTTTAACCCTCTTTACTGAAACATTCGTGTTGACTATCAATGTCTGATCCATAACTAAACTTATTTTTTCTTTTTCTTCTGAATGCTAAATAATTTCTTTTTTCTCTTTGTAGGTTTTGTGAAGATGCAAATGAACTTATTTATTATCTCCAATTGCATATGTTGCTAATTATGTTATTTCACTAAATAATAAGAATTTTTCAAATAGTCGTCATCTAATATTTTTTGTTTGTATATATAAATAATTACAATCGATAGAATATGATGAGTAACAATTGATCGTGTTTCACCTGATGCAGCTGATTAAATTTTTTTGTATCAAAACTGATTCTATCGATTTAATTTCTTTTAGAAAGATTTTGATCTGTCTCTGATTAAATTTCTGTTTCGATGATGAATAATAATATCGCATGTATTACTTGAATAAAATCATGAGAAGAAATAAGGACTGAGAACAGATATGAATTTGATTTGGGACAGATAAGAAAAAGAACTTATATAACATGTGTTACATGATATTCTTAGTACAGAATACAATTGAACGATTTGTGATGTTTATGTTCAATAATTCAGCTTCACAAAAATCAAATTGAAATAGCTTTTATTTTGATATAAAATTTAACTCATTTTCAAGCTTAAAATAAACTTTTGATTGCACGTGATTCTTAATCTATGGATGGTACAAGGTCAAAATCATGTTTGAATATCAACTTATAGAGCATATTTTGAACTCTCAGCGAATGTAAATGCTCTCCTAAAATATCATAATTTGTATCGATGAATTTTGCTTATCTTTGAGCTAATAAACATTTGTCGATCTTTATCTTTCGATAGATGAAAAACGTTGATAGTATCAAACAGCATCATAAAAAAAGATTGAGAAGATCTCAAATGAAATAGCTATCTTTTGAGACAAAGAAAAAATTTCTTTGCATTGTAATCCAAATGAGAACCTAAAGTGCAAAATCAAAACATACTTGTCATATTAAGCATCTTGCAATATTTTCATTTTTGTTTTATCTACAAATGTGTCAAATCTTCAATCTTTGATACCCAAAATTTGTTTGTTTTGTTTTCAATTGATGACAACTACTTGTGATAAAAAAAATTGTTCGACAGAATATTGCATGTGAGTGTAGAAAGGTTCTATAAGATATTCTTCGGGTGATATTTATACGAAATCGTGAATAAAATCAAATTTACATATTTTGAGATAAGTCACAAAATATTACAGATTGATTTAAAATAAGGATTAGCATATTCAAATAAGTCTTTCGTTAGAAATTTTGTAAACTCTATAAGAAGGAATCGTACCTCAATAGCTGTTGATAACGTATTTCTAATGTAGTGTAAAATGACCTTGGCGATTGTGGTCGAGCTCAGTATTTCAGCCAGTTTTACAATGATAGTTGGAAAATTATTGTTGTTGTACTTTAACATGGTAGTAAAATCAGCGAGTAAAAATATTTAATTTCAATATCTTTTTAGTGGAAATCGAATCAATAAATTGTAAATGATACATATCTTTTTCATTTTGTTATGTTCTCAATTAAGTAAGCTTTCTATTAAATTATTCAAAGCAGATATGTTGTGAAATATGAAATAAAAAACAAATTATTTCTATTTTTCAAATTATTAATCATTGCATTGAGTTGCGTAATTACTATGTCATTATCAAAACGTTTCTTTCTTGCCTTTACTTGCTTTGTTATATTTATATGATGGTAGAAAGTCACATTTTTTTTTAAATATCTAATGGCTGAAATGAGTACTAATGTTACAAATAGTTTATCAATATTAGTAACACGATTTGTATGTATTAGTGACAATCATGATAATTATGATTTCACTCTTCCAGATGGTGATATACTACTTCATTCAGGTGATTTTACTCGTAATGGAACAGAAAAAGAAATTGAAACATTTTTAAATTGGTTAAAAACTTTAACTCAATATCGTTTAAAAATAATTATTGTTGGTAATCATGAATCTAAACGATTTTATACAAAGAAACGATATAAAAAATTTCCATTAGTAATTGAACAATTAAAAACTGATAAATCATTAGTTACAGATTATGGTATTGTCTATCTTCAAGATCAAACATTTCATGATCCGATAACTGGATGGAAATTTTACGGAAGGTATTGATATGAAAGATTTTATTGAAAGAAATTTTTCATTCCTTGTTTTTTTTTGTTTCATTTTGCAAAACAGTGGTTGGTTATCTGAACAATGTAAAGATCCAGAAGAAATACGTCGTCATTGGTCTAAAATACCAATCGATACAGATATTCTTCTTACACACGGTCCACCCTCTTCTATTTTAGATCAATCAAGCAATACATATCATCTTGGTTGCAAAGAATTACTTAACTCAATATTAAATATTGTTAAACCAAAACTTCACGTTTTTGGTCATGTACATAGAGGATATGGACAATATAAAAATGATCTTGAATTAGGAAGAACATTATTTGTTAATGCTTCCTTGTGTGATAGCTATTTTCGTATTGCTCATTCACCAATCGTGATTGATTTAAGTAAAGATAAATAGAATTTATTTAGGCTTATATTTAATGTTAAAATATTAAGCTAATAAAAAAAGAAATTCTCATCACTATTGATTTTTAATCACTTAAGGAAAGTCATGTTTGTAAATATTTTCTTTTTTCGAATAAAGTTTGAGAATGAAAAACTGGAGTGTGCACAAACTCCAACAAGTTACATCACATTATTATAAGTATATAATATCGGATCAAATCGATCATCTTCTAGATAGGCTCTATTGAAGGCTCGTAGCGTGTACTGATAATATCTACTGTCAGTTATACTTCTCTATTATCTATGTGAGTAAGCTATCTCGAAATACATGCAAATGATTGTTAACTACCTAGGATTGGTCCATACCCTAGTGGAATTCATCATAATATGATGCATTCATAACATCTAATCGGACTATGTCCTTGTAGGTAGACTTTCTGGACACTTAGTATAGTATATTGATAACATCAGTCAATCATACGCAATTATTCTTACAATGTAGAACAGTTCAATGTGTTTTTAAAGATAGTTTAAGAGATGAATGTTTGTGATCAATTGCTACTGCATGTTTCCACTCTTAACGACTTTAGGTTTCTTTATCATATCGTCAAAAAAAGTATAAGTTCGATTCAAAATAGTTCAATCACAATGGATGATTTCTGTTGATTTCAGGATATAACAGACTTCGATTTCTTTATTAATATAGCTTTGGAGTTTTTTTTTAACTAGAAAAATGATCAACGTACTTTTTTCAAGCACTACATATAATAACAATTGGTCAGAAGTTCTCGTGCAATATTGTTTTATAGAGTATGATCTATTAGGAATCTTTGAATGTATTTCATTAGGAATTTGAGATAAAAATTCAAAGAAAATGAGTGAGAAGTTTATTAAAGTCATCTGAACATAAGGTCACGATGGCTTCTTTATACTTGTACGGTTCACAACTTCGTCTTGGTGTGGCTCGATACTAATGTAGATGACATCAACAACAATTATTGTATCGATACCATCAGCAAATTAAGAGAAATGGTCGACAAAATACATTTATTCTATGATGTGAATCAATGCATCGATTTTATAACTGATAGTCAACAAGAGAAAATATTTATGATCGTTTCTAATGTCTTCAGACAAACAATTCTTTCTGTCACTTATGACATTCCACAAATCGATACCATATATATTTTGAATGACAACCAAACTCAGCATGAACAATGGACCAAAATCTAGCCAAAAATAAAAGAAGTCTTTACAGATATTGCTCCTATCTGTGAAGGCCTTCACAAGTGGCACAGGAATGTGATATATGTATGTATATCCAAATAATGAAAGAAATTCTATTAACTATTGATTTGGAACAACATCATATCAATGAGTTTCTTATATACTGCGATGAAGTTTTTGCCGGCAATTCAAAAGAACTTCAAAACATCAACAAAATCAAACAAGAACACCACAAACATCTACCGATTTGGTGCTATACCTACCAATGTTTCTTATATTCCATGATGACGGATATGTATTGTAAATAGAAGATCTTTACTATATTATATTATTTGAATACGATACATTTCTCTTCGTCGAATGTAGAGCTATCCAACGAGTTGATTGAAGAGAGAAAAGAAGAAAAGGTTCATTGATTGTACGATTTATTTGTTGATATTGTTGAATGATTGTTACATTTGAAACACAAAAGATAATTTAACTATGTATATAATAATTCATTCAATTGATCAAAGAGAAGAATAATGATTGAATGTATGAAAAACGATGACTTTGTATACGATTGAAGATGCTTTTTTTGAAGAGTAATTCACTGTTGCAGATTTGTTTATTCAATTAAGGACAAATATGTCTATCAATTAATTAATGTGAGAGAGAATAAAAAATAGTTCCGAGGTGAAAAAGAAAAATGTTAGTATAGTAGACTCATTAATATGAGATGAGAAATGAACGCCTGAAGTATGTGACTATATTCTAAAGGACTTTTATTTCTTTGTTGCATACCGTTCATTTGAGCCATATTTGTTTAAAAAATAAAATACAATAATCTAGAATTTGAATATTGATAGAGCATCAGTCAGCAAGCAACATGGTGAAGAATGCTGTAAAAGAGTAAGTGATGTTCATACGATATTATATACTACTGCAAAGATCTAGTATAGAGCTATTCCACTAATGATACGAACATGATAACATTCCAAAGCAAATAATCATGCCATCCATACTCTAGTATTATTGTAACAAACAGTACATGGAGAAAGTCACATATTCATTCGAGTACATGCACATATATATCCAGCGGAAAACAATATAAGTTCTTTACTTGCCAAAAGAAATAAAATTCAATGTGCGACACCCATCCACTTTTTTTGAGTTCAATAGTACTTGATCCCATAATTGAATTTTCAGACATTCTGTGTAATCTGTTCCTGAAGATAGATATGCTTCTAACAATGATGATAATAGAATGCTGAATGATATGTTATGAAAACAAAAACGATTCAGATAACTCGTATTGAAAAATAAAAAAACTACGAAATTTGTGCTTTATAGAATTGAATGAGAGTTTTCAAAAAAAGAAACTATCCTCTTCTCAATAACTAACACCGTGTTTCGTCAAAACCATTTATCTGAAGTCAAACAGTCAGTGTTTATAATCACAAATATATATATTTAAATATTCATATACGCAAAAGACTCAATATCAAATAATGTTAAATTTACAGTAGCAAAACACAAAATAGAACATTCATTCTATAAATAATCTGATCGTCTAAGTTTAACTTACAATCGACAATAGTTTCTCCTTCGATATGTCGAAAAAGTTACACTATATTCAAGTAAACTAAGAAAAATCTCTGACTTTCAGAATTTGTAAACGACGTACCATTTCATGCTAAAAGGGTGAGAAGTCCTTGCGTGAGTATGTACGCCGAAAATGATGATAAAATCTTTGAGCAGTTCATATGTTTCATTGTGGGAACTATATGCTGGTCTTAAGGTTACTAAAATCATATAATATAAATATGACACAAAAACAAATGATCAAAGAAATAGTAGCTATCGATTTGGCACGTTTCATTGTAGCATATGAGCGATAGAAAAGCTTTGGTGAAGTTGACATAAAACGATCCATTACTGCTAGAGCAATAAAACATGCAGCAATAGAATGTTGTAATCTGCAAAACATTTGTGATTAAATCTGAGCATTATATCCAAAATGATCACTAAGAAATCGTGTTACTGTCCCAATATCAAGTGTAAGAAGGTCAAATATAGATTCATGAAGAAAATAAAGTGAACATGGAGTTTTTCTTAATCTATGAGAAGCAAATGTGGTAAAATTACAGCAAGATCCTATAGTTTCAATAATAATAGTAATTGAACAATAAAAAATAATTTCTTCACTAAGATACATGAGCTGAGAAATATTTGAACCTGATGCCATTGCCATAGATCTATAAATACAATGATTTCATGTGAAGCCTAATAATAATTATAATGTGAATCAGAAATAACAACTTCTCCAAAAAGTAGTTAGTCTCAAATTGTTACTAGCTTGTTTTGAAATAAATATGTCAAAATTCGTATAAAATTCAAAGTTTATACGTGTTAGTTTTAAGATTGACATTGATCGTAATAGTACGCCATTGAAGTGGAACAAATAGTTAGTGCCATTATAATAGCCAAAAACTACTAGTATCAACGAAATAACATTGCTGTTTTTTTATCTGTGATTTCTACTGTTTGTTTATTTGTCATAGTTTGTTTTGATAAAAAAAAACAAGGAATTTAGTAGAAGTTACTCACAAGTTGAGATTTTCCACGATCTCAGTTCTTTTGACATGCAAACATTGCATTTTACCTCTATACAAAAAGCTGACTCATTGCTGATGAATTCTACCATATCAGTGAATGTATTTAAATTCTATAAACGAACATAAATGTCATGACACGAGTGAACTAAGTGTTACTTAGAATATCATCAATTATGAATAGTTCTTTCAATCGTATTTTCACTATTAATTAACATATGGAACAAATAATAGACCAATATAAAAATAAAAGGCTTCTTTTAGTCATTACACTAGATTATACTAAATTTACTATCTGTTTTCATATTATACATGTCTAATAATTAACATTTATATAAGATATTTTGACCTTTATGCTCTTTCTCTTTTTCATTCAGTCTATGTTTCAATTATTTTTCACTACATTTTCAACCTCTGCAAATCTACTAGGCAAAATATGTCATTCAGCTCATTGC